AAGTGGAGCTTTGGTCGGCCGAAGCAGACCCTGAACCGGTCGACCGAAACCCTCCATCGGTCGACCGAAATGAGAGATGCCGAGAGTGTGAAGATGGTTTGGTCAACCGAACCCCATTTCGGTCGACCGAAATGGAGATACTGAGAGGGTGCGAGTGGTTCAGTCGACCGAAGTGCCATTTCAGTCTACCGAAATGACCCTCCCGAGGTTGGAACCTACTATTAAGGTACTGCAATTTGGAGACGAAGATGAACTAAAACAAAGACTTAGCTATTGTGATAGACTTACTCTAACATCACACGAATGAAGTGATCTACAATCATAAACAGGAGTACCAATTCATGAACACATCATAATAATACTTGATTCAAATTACATAATCCCATACATAGTCATTTCAGAAGTCTTTATTTACAACAAAATGGATTCAAGGTTTCAATTACATCATCATTTAGATTCCCAATAAACTTAATATATCTTATTACATGTACTACACAAAATAAGCTCAAGCTCTACAAAATTATATCCAAAATGCCTTCCAAGTTCTTTTAGTTCAGTGGTGGATTTTCATCCGCCGTTTCTTTGCCATGACCTGAAAATGTTAAGTATATGGGATGAGTAAATTGCTCAGTAGATGGCACTTAAGACACGCCTCTTGTGTCCCCGTGAATTCATGCAAAGAATGGAGCAATAGGAAATGGGGATCATACAATGTCGGGATATGGCAACATACTAATCAATTTCAAGTATAGACAATGTAATGCAATGGAATGTAATGCATGCCGATGTTATTCCCCATTTTCAACATTCAAAACCATCACTTTCAAACGGTTAATATAACCCACCCTTTGGTGACCCCGTAGTGTCCCTGACCCTTGGTACCCCCGCGGCGTCATTTTGGGCCGAGCTTGCTCAACCACGCTAGGGCAATCTCCCTAATTCCCTTTAGGCTATATTAACCCTCCGGCCCTTTGGTGCCCCCGCGGCGACCGGGTTTTCATAAAACCGATTCATCAAAACATTTTCCTCAAAATTCCCTTTTTCATTTCAAAACAATTCCCTTCATGAAAACCCAATGATTTGCACATGTATGTGTCCCATGCTTTCAATGTCATGGAATTTAGATAAATTACACTACACAATTAAGCATATTCCATATTCATCATCTCAAGTAATTCATCAACACAATACACATAACCAAACAACATCTAAGCATGCTTTTCACACCAAACAACTTATATACATAATCATGTATTTTCTAAACAACACTTAGAAGATCTTTAAGATAATTAACATTCAAATTAAACATGCTTGTAACATTTTATGAGATATAATTCACCAAGGAGCAAGAAAAACATAAATTAAGAACCCCTACCTTAATTTGGCGCAAAACCCTCAAATGGGTCAAGAAATTCGAAATCCCTAGGGAGGCTCAAAGCTGAAATTGTTGGTACTCACGCGTAGAGCTCGTCGTGCTCTCCGTTTTGCCTCAAACGGCACTCTAAAATTCAAAGTATTGAAGATGAAATCAAGATTTGAAGTTTGAAAATCAAAAGAAAAAGAAAAGAAGAAGAAGAAATGAAGGAGGAAGAGAGGGATTACGGGGACAGAGAAAGTTAGAGACCAAAATGGTCTCTAAGCCACTAAGTAAGTGGGTGGTGGGTCCCACCACCAACATTTCTTTTCCCTTTTTCATTTTTTCCAATTCTACACCACAAATATATATATGCCCCACCATAAAAATGCCACTTAATTCTCATAAAACAAAATGTGTGAAATGCAAATGGATCCAACTAAGATCCCGCACACAAAACGTGAAAAGACGAAAATGCCCTTGCGTCAACAAAATTCCGGGAAAATAAAAAATGCTAAAAATTGGAAACATCACAGATATACGCACCCTAACCATGATCCTGAGATTCAAGCTCATATCACGGCACCATAAAGATATATATATAAAGTCTGTTCAAGGTATGTCATTCAAATGTTTATTGATCTGACATATATATGAGTAGGACTTAACTTTTATAGTTAATCCAACTTATTTTAGAATAGGTAGGACTTAGTGTTTTGAACTAATCCGTCCCTAAAATAGGTAGGTCTTAGAGTTTTGAACTAAGCCATCTATAATATGCCACCGTCCCATACCAGTGCATATACACATATGTAAGTAGGACTTAACTTTTGTAGTTAATCCAACTTATCTTAGAATAGGTAGGACTTAGTGTTTTGAACTAATCCATCCCTAGAATAGGTAGGTCTTAATGTTTTGAACTAAGTCATCCATAGTATGCCACCGTCCCATACCGGTGCATACAATCCTCCAAATAACATAGTTAATAAAAACAACACTATATATTCATCAACCATTCTCCAAAATATGCATCCATATAAATTAATACATATATAACGATATTAGGCATTCATTATAGAACCTAAAAATCAAGTATCAACTATGTAAATTGCTAAAATAAATCTAAGCATTTACATCCTCCAAATTATCCAAAAATTGATATAGTTAAATAGCAAACAAATATTAATTTATTCCAAACCAAGCATAGTTAATTTTAGGTGATTCACTATACTTATAACTCTGTCTAAATATGATTAACAGTATTAAATCATAAATAAAAATAACATCCAAGTTCCAGTAAATAAGTTTATTAACAAAACAGTGCACAACTTACAGGTTTTTCCTCAAATTCACCTTGCTCCATTCCTTAGTCCAGTTATGAATTAATGTTTCCTCATTATTTTACAAGTCTACAACAATCATCTACATCATTTAAAACAGTTTAAACCAAGTAGAAACACCCTGAACAGTCCAAACAACGCCCTAAAAGTAGTTAATACGTAATTCAGGGCAAGAGCAGGCTCTCACAACTTGACAGCCTGCTCCATTGGCACAGGAGCCGGCTTCCTAACTTAGGGAGCCTGCTATATGGAGCTAGGAGCTGGCTCCATACTCTTTGGAGCCGGCTCCATTTATGAGGGAGCTGGCTCCTTCCTTTTGGGAGCCCTCTCTCTCACTCCCTAAAGTCGTTCTACATTTTTTGCTTCGTCTTCCTCGCCTCCGGCGATACCCAGGCCTCTGTAATTCTTTTAATACTTGTTCAAGTGTTCAATTAATGTCCTAGATTAATTACAAGGCATCGACATGCATCAACGACATCAAATAAACTAAGCTTAAACTCAAATACAGCATGCACCAGTTAACGGAATTGTAAGAACTTGCAAACTAATTTAATTCACCAAAATTAAATATAGTTAACACATGCATAAACGACTTGTTTTAACATTAATTAAACCCCTGGAGTCTACCTAGGCATGCACAGAACACAGGTTTAAGGGAAAGAGATAGAATAAAGACTTGCCTTCGGTTTTAGTTTTGAAACCTTAAACCACCGTCTCTGAGTTTTCCGATAGATTCTGGACTGCCGTTCAACACCTCCGTTACTCTTGGTTCAATCCAGAAGTAATTCCTTCTTGGTTCAGCCCTTGTCCCTAGCCAAACCCTAACTTTCCTCTCTCTGTTTTCCTCTCACAGCTCTTTGTATTTCGTCGCCTCCACTGCTACGTGACTTGGGTTCTAAAAACCCTTAGCAGATAAAACCCTAAAATCATTATTAATAAACCAGTATAAATGTAATTATTAATAAATCATAATAGTTAACTTAATCCTATACACACATATATATATACATATATATTCATCCATGGATAATAACTATACCATAAAATCCCATATCCAAGCCCAACTCCGTTGTTTAAAATATTAATTTAATTTAAAACATATTTTATCATTTAAACAAATAAATCAAATAAAACAATTAAATCAATTTAAATAATTAAAGCAAACCCACATAATCATATAATTAAATTAAACGCATACTTCAATTAAACAATTAAACAAATACACAATTAACCAATTTAAACAAATACACAATTAAACACAAAAACACATAGCCACGTAAACAACTAAAAATGTCCAAAAAATCAAAGTTAAATTCCAATTTTATCCTTTTGAAAACTAGGGGTATTACACTATGGGAATAAGTAGATGAATTTTTAATTTTTAATTTTTTTTTTACAAAAAGTTTTTTTAAAAAATTTATTTATTTTTTTAAAAAAATTATAGTCGTTAAGGCACTATTTGTGTCAGCCAAACAGTGCCTTAACGGCCAAATGCATTATTTGTGGTACACATTTAAAATTTAAAGTAAAAAAAAATAAAATAAAAAAAAACAAATTTTAAGGGGAAAAGACATGCTTGTTTAATTTATTTTTGGCCAAAATAAAATTAATTTTTGACAAATAGTGCCTAAACAATATAATTTTTATTTAATATATTTTATTTTATTTTATTTTTTAAAAAAAGAGCTCAAAATAACCTATTTTTATGTTTTAATTTTAAAAAAAAAAAAAAATCTGCCAAACAATGCCTTAAGGCACTATTCGGCACACTGTGGAAGGGGCTGCAGGAATAAGACAAAAAGCTGCACCAGAAACGGCGTCATTTTGACGCAAAAAACGACAAAAAAAAAAAAAAAAAAAAAAAAAAAAAAAAAAAATCAGCTATCGCGGACCGGCTCGTGAACAAAATTGGGCCTTACCAATTTAGCTAGCCCGCTGCATGCCCAAACAGTCCATTGGCTCGCTGAATATGGGCTTTGAAGAGACTCGTGCAGGTGCTCTGATGAAGTGAGATTCAACCCACAACATTTTCTTTTTTGAGTTAGAGAAAAATTGAATTTGAGTGCAGAATTGCCACGTGTTACAAAGATTGTTCGCTCAAGTCTCCCAAATAATTGGCACATAAACCGCTCCCCTTTTACTCATACCAACGTTATTAACCACCTAAATCCAACCAAATTTCAATGAAAGAAATTTATTATCTTTGCATTGATTTCTCATTTTCAACCCCTTTTGCTAGATTAATTTTCATCATGATTTTAATATATCTCAATTCTCAAACCTTGATACAAACACTCATTCACGTTATGGGAAATCTCAAGTTCTACATAACTCTTCACCATCACCTCTTACCTGCACTAATACTCTTTTTATCAACCATCCCATTCTCCGCCTGTGAGATCAAGAACATAACCATCCTCGACGACTCACGGCCGATCATCCTTTTCGAGCGTTTTGGGTTCGCCCCAAACGGCCACGTCTCCGTCTCCATCAACCATTACACATGGAAATCAAAGCATCAAGGTGCACAACTCGATCCTTCCTCAATGGGCTTCTTTCTCGTCCGAGACGTGTCATTTCCAAGAATCCTGAACGAGTCAGAGTACACCGAGGGCTTCTGTGTCTTGTCGAGTCATTTTGTGAAACTCATTTTCAGATTTGACAAATTTGGTTCTAATTCATCCTACGACGGGTCAATCATTATTGATGAACCCGACGAATATAACTTGATATTCGGGAACTGTCAACCCGAATTTCAAGTTTCCATGAATGTCCATACAGAGATGTACAACCTGCATGCAGATGGTTCGAAGGATTTTCTTCCTGCAGGCCAAACCCCATTGCCAAGACTCTATTTTCTCTTCTTCCTCATATACACCGCCTTTTTGTTGTCATGGGTTTATACTTGCACCAAACATAGACAAACTCTGGACAAGATCCATCTAATAATGGGTGCATTACTTCTCTTCAAGGCTCTCAAAATAATATGTGCTTCAGAGGACAAAATGTATGTGAGAAAAACAGGCACTCCACATGGTTGGGATGTGGCTTTCTACGTCTTCGGATTCTTCAAAGGTGTCGTGCTCTTCACTGTGATCATCCTCATCGGCACAGGGTGGTCTTTCTTGAAACCATACCTCCAAGAGAGGGAAAAGAAGGTGTTGATGATAGTGATTCCATTGCAGGTTCTGGAGAACATAGTGTCTGCGGTGATAGGGGAAACAGGTCCGGCCACAAAGGACTGGTTCACCTGGACTCAGGTGTTCTTGATCATGGACATTGTGTGTTGTTGCGCGGTGTTTTTCCCGATCATTTGGTCCATGAGGAGCCTCAAGGAGGCTTCCAAGATGGATGGGAAGGCGGCTAGGAACCTTGAAAAGCTTTCCCTTTTCAAGCAATTCTATCTTGTTGTGGTTGGCTACTTGTACTTCACTAGAGTAGTTGTTGCTGCAATAGGGTCTATTGTGACATATAGATATGAATGGGTTGGTCCAGCTGCTGCAGAAGCTGCAAGCTTGGCTTTCTATGTATTTGTATTCTATAATTTTCAGCCAATAGAGAGGAATCCTTACTTGGCTATTGATGATGAGGAAGAAGCTCATGCAGGTCAAATATTGGAAGCAGACGACACATTTGAACTCTAATTTGATCTGTACAGTGGTACTAACAAAAGGTTTGGGGATCAATTTTCAAATTTAGATGTCCTAAGCTTGCTGTTTCTAAATGTTTTGATTGAGGATTTTTGGTCTATTGAGCATGTAATACATTAATGCTATATATATAGTCTGTAATCAACAATCCAATTCAACATGGTACTATACTCAATTTTTGTTTTTTAAAGGTAATTTCAATTTTTATAGATAAGGATTGATACATGTACAAGGCTACAAGCCCATAGAAGGAAAGTTCGCTCAATGCTAACATTACAGTTTCAGCCCATGAATAACCCAGACCTAAAAGGCCCAAGGTTTCAACAATACCCAACCTAGAGTATTCAAGTGTAATGACCGTTGCTGGCCAACATCACAGTCCGGTGGAGAACATGGAGATCATCTCCTCATCCTCCTCATCCTTAATCAGTATGATCAAGGGGTTTTGCTGGTGGACGTACAATCACAGGTGGTAGCTCCCATTCGTCAATTATTCTTCTAGCATTCAAGGAGTCGGAGATGGATGAGGACAAGAGCTTAAATCGAATTGGCTCCAAAGTGAGATGTAAAACATAATTTGTAGAGAGGTACCATGCAATTAATTCTGATCAATATGATGTCAAAATATGTAACGCTGTATTGTAAAAAGTGCCACAAGGGCTTATTAACTTAATTAACAAGATATGTTTCACATGGTGTTCTCTTCTAATTATAGACTTATATAACTTATATATGATGTTGAGTTTGTTGAGGTTAATGTCATGTGTTTGGGCTGTCTGAGCTCTAAACTTTGTTTTTTTAATTAGGTACTCACACGTACAACACAAGCATTCTCAATGCTACTAAGGAGCTAGAATCTCTCACATCCCTTTTTTTGGCCTTTGATTTATGAAATGATTTCAATAAAGATAAGGCAAGAAAGTAGAGGTGCACAAAGAATGTAACTTCAGAAATAGAGCTTACATCGACAACCCTAAAAAGAGACGGGATTGAGCAACTGAAGATACTCATTTTCATCATTGAGCTCGATAGCCTCACCTCCCCTTTGAAGAAAAAGAGATTAATTATACATTGAACTCTGAACTTGGCAGATAACTAACCAAACAAAAATATCCGTTATTGGAGCACATAATCTTCAGCCTTTAAATCCCATCATGGATATTCTAGAAAACTTTCTCATTAGGGTTTTTAATGTTGTTTTAAGCTTTAATCGACAAACTTTCCAATTGGTCAAGGATAATCCCAATTCTTTTTCTGTGTATCTTAGAATTTTTTATTATTAAGAAATCCAAATGTTAAAGGGATTTTAATAAAACAAAATTTTGCAATTTCTTTTTTATTCTGCTTTTAGTCACACCAATGACAAGGGAGAACCAAATGTTATTTAGCGCAATGGTATACCTTCTCCATCTTCAAAGGAGTGAGGAGTTCGAGGCCGGGTCCATACGAGGAAAAAAAAAAATGTGTGAGTGTGTGAGTATTCTTGCCAAGAAAATATTTGCCAAAGGAGAAATATCACAATTCGAATGGGGGATCCTTGTTTGGTGAAGTGTGATAAGTGCTTAAATGTTGCACATTTTAGCACCTAAGTTAGGGTATTTCAGTCGTTGTAGCTATCTTAATTTCATGTTTTAGTCCTAATTTATGTTTATGTGTATTTCAGGGTAATAAAGTTAAACTGAGCTAAGAACGGTCCATTAAAGCCTTTTTAGAGTCAATCAAAGATATTCAGAAAAAGCTCAGAAAATGGCAAAAAGGAGGTCGCAGCCCATTGCTCGTATAGTGTGTTTATTCTTCAAAAGCGGTCAATCTCAGGCTTTTGATGATGTTCCCAAAGATGAAGAAGCAAACTAATGAATTCGGGGCTAAAATGGAGCTAAATAGGGCTTAAAGGAAATTTTCAACTCTGGGGGGATCGATCCCCAGGGTGGGGGATCGATCCCCCAGGACTTAGCAACATTATAGTTTTTATTTAATTTTTGGGCTCATTTTGGGAACTGTTGGGCTTTAATGAGATTGTTACTTAAGGCCCAGTGAGCCATTAGATTAGGATTAGTTTTAGTTTTTATTTAGGTAAAGATTATTAGAAAAGAAAAAGAAAAAAAAGAGTTTTATTTTATTTTTTTTTCTGTATCGTAGTATCGTATTTTCTCTCTGGAAAAACACGCGAAGAAAGGGAAAAAGAAGAACAGGCTAGGGTTTGGAAGAAAAGTTCAGAGAAGATGAAGCAGATGATGGGGATTGTCCTATCTTCGACTCCATCAACCATGAGTGGCTGATTCTTCTACTTAGGGTTGGATAAACCCTAAGCATGTAACCTATTCTCTCTCTCTTTTCATACTTTTTGGGGATTAATTTATGTAATTAGTGTATAGTCTTGAATATTATGAATTAAATTCTTCCAATTGATTATTAAAAAAAAAAAAAAAAAAAAAAAAAAAAAAAGAAAATTAAATAATAAAAAAAAAAAATGAAAAAAAAAAATGGCGCCGTTGCCGGGGATCTAACTGTTTTTAAAGAATTGAATTAGACATTAGTTCTTTGTTGATTGTTTACTTTTAAGTCATTTTTATTTTTATTTTCTCATTTAATGTGCAATTAGGTATTTGATACAAGAAAGGTGAACATTGGAGCTTAAAGCAATCATTGGAATTTGGAGTTGCTTAAGGACCTTTGTAAGCAATTCTTACCCTAATTGTTCATTTTTCTATGCTTGCGAGATAGTCCTTGTTGAGGCTTTCATAATGCTTAAATATTTTATCTAAGCATAGGTCCTTGTCGAGGCCATTACTTTCATTGTTATATGCATGAGCCATTGTCGAGGCAATTATTTTATTGTTTTCGGATTGTGAATGTGAATGGAGCCCTTGTTTGATCCAAGTTTGGGGGAAAATTTTACCCCTTATCCTTATGCATCTCCATCATATCATGATCCTTATGAGAGTGAGTCCAATACATTTCATAAATCATTATCATATAATGGACTTGATCATTCTTATGATCCCTCTTATGACTATTACCCTCCCCCACCATTTTATGAAGAACCATCTCCATTACCTTACTCTCTCGGATTTGAAAATAAAATGTTAGCTCTAATTGATGAACTTAATGAAAGGAGACAACTTATTAATTATCATTCTCATAAGCTAGCGATGCTAAAAGCTCAAGTTGAGGAAATTGCAAGTACTCTTTCTCGTCAAGAGGAAGAGGAAGAAGAGGCAAGTCAATTAATGACTAATCAAAATGAGCAAAACATGATAATAAAAGAGGGTGAGGCAAGTGAGCTAGTGACTAATCCAATAGAGCATAAATTGAATTATGAGGACATTCCTTATAATCTTGAGCATGAGGAAATTGATACCTTAGAGAGTGAGGAGTTGTTGACCACTATAGAGGTAGGAGAGGAAAAGGAGGAACTTGTAAAAAAGAACCTTCCTTTTATTATCCCCAACGATCCTCTTGAGGCATGCCTTTTGAAAATGTATGAATGATGTGGTTTTAACATCGAAAGCTCCACATATGAAGTGAACTCTCTAATGAACTCCATAGCTAACTTGGAAAGTGAAGAGATGGTGATCAGTGAGGAAGAGAAAAGGGATGAAAAGAGTGCATTTCCTAATAATTCAATTGAGTCTTTGAAAGACGTTGCTTTGCCAAGTGCAAGACTGTCCATTATTGATTTCATTTTCAAGACCATTGATGAAAGGAAAAAAATTGCATCTTACATCATTTCTTTTCAAGTCATTCTTTTGGGAGATGAATTTGTTGTTATGAGAAAGGATCCACTTGGGAAAATAGACAAACGGATTAACGAGGATGTCTCATATCCGGTTTTTGATTCTTTCGACTAGTGAGTCACCCCAACGTTTTTCTAGTGACATTAAACACTAGTTTTTCGTAGAGTTTCCCGACTTTACTTCTCCCTCATTTCTTTTTATTTTATTTCTTACATCTTCGTCTAAATAAAATTTTATTTTATTTTCTTCTTTTACTTTATTTTATTTTTTGTACAATTCTGCTTTCAGAAATTCAAAATAAAAAAAATAAAAAAAAAAAAATTGTAAATGAGTAATGTAGGTTGGTGTTTGATTTTATTTCTATTTTATTATTATTTTTATTATTTTTGTATATATTTCATGTTAGTTTTGATTTATTCAAAAATATAAAAAAAAATTTATATAAAAAAAAAAAAAAAAAAAAAAAAAAAAAATGGCGCCGTTGCCGGGGAAATCAATCCCATTCTTGAAATTAAAAAAAAAAAAAAAACATATCACTAAAATTTCAAAAATATGTGTCCCCGTTATGCCCTTCTGCTTAGTTTTGCATGTTTTCATCTTTTACAAAGGGCTTGATATCATATCTCTTTACATCTTATTCTATATTGTTTTGGAATGTATGCTTTACTTATTCCATTTGATATTTGATGTGAGTTGCTAGTGTGGCTTTTCTAGTAGGTTTTTGCATCCAAGTTTGGGGAAGACCTCTTTCGTCATGGATCATTACCGGACGTCATTAACTTTTGCCATCACGGTATACTCTTTCCATTTCTTTCATTGTTCTCATTGCACATTGAGGACAATGTGCAGTTTAAGTTTGGGGGTAAAGTAGCCTTGTTACATTCTACTTTAAGTTGAGTTTTAAATGCATGATTGAGATTTGAGATATATTTGGCAATGATTTTGAACTTTTGAATCATAGTGCCTTTAAAAAACAAGTTGTTAGAGTCTAATACTTCTTGTATGCTCTAGGATGCCATTTAAGGGTAAATTTTAATTTTTGACATCATGTTTGCTTTTGTGGTACACATCATCTTGTTGGTTGAAAATGCTTTGAGAGTTGATTCTAGAATTCTACATTTGCACTTGCGCACACTAGCATTCAATTTGTGGGGTACATGCTTAGTTGATTATTGTTTTGGTTTGTTCCAATTGAGCTAGTATGCTTTGAAAGCTTTCATTCTTGATAAAATGACCTTGCAAAGGAAAGAAAAGAAA